AATGCATATGTTCCACACTTAATTCTCCTTGTATTGGACCCTTTTGTGTCAGAAAGCTGGCAATGTTTATTTAGATGGAGTCAGCAATCTGCAGGGCTAAATACAAACTGCTCATGAATCGGATGTCTCAGACCAGTTTTCTCTTTACTTGTTACCTAGGGGTATTGGTGAATCTTTTAAGGAAAAAATGGCTTGAACAATTATCAGAACTGATTTTGCACACTTGGTTTTGCAACTGGGGTACAAGGGTAGAGTGAGGGATGTTTCAAAGGCTATTGCAGCCCAATTTTCCATTGTTCCTTAAGGAAAGGAATTTGCTTAAAGCTTCATGACTTTGGTGGATGGCAGTAAGTTGTTCTGTGTTACTTCCATAGTTAAATACTCTAGTTTAAGTTATAGCTTCTAATCAGAAAAAAACCTCAAAAGACATAGTGTTGTAGAATTCAGAAATAATTTTGCATGTATTCTCCTTTCCTGTATTCTGAACAGCAGAATGAACCACACAACGACCATAGAAATGTCCCATGATTCACATGAGCTTCTCAAATATTTCAGTCCCTTTACTGCAGGAGATTTTGTTCTGGATTTTTTTCATACATAATTTGGAAGGGAGTATCTGCTATATGTCTCTAAAATCCAATGTTTTGGGGTGTCTTTTTTTTTTTCTTGTAATGAGTGAATATTAATCTATTTCTTTATTCATTTTTACAGATTAAAAAAATCAACAGGAATTTTCCCGTAAACCAGCAGGTAAGAAAAAGAAAATTCGGGGTTGTTTCATTTATAATTGTCATTTCGACTGTATTTAAATGTGTAGTAGCTGCGCCTTATTCTAGCTCAAGAAATCTTAATACATTTTCTTCAGAGTACCTTGCTGCCTCAAAATAGGTACTTTTTTTCTGAAGTCGAAGGGCACTGGAGTGGTTGGTCAAAGTAAGATCATGCATGAACTTTTCTAATTAATATGTTTAATGCATTTGTGTGTGTATATATATATACGTTTTCTTCAGATTACATCTTAACTATTTTACTATAGAAGGGGGAACGGGATTGTTGTGCTTCACCAAATTAGCAGGCATCCATTGATGTTCTAAAATTCTAAAACTGTATGAATGCTATTATCCAAATGAAGGCATAAAACCCCCCTAAATTTTTGCACATGGTTTTGGAGCAAGCCCGTAGGAGAATTTGGAACAAACTGAATCATCTGACTGCCTCCGAGTTCATCCAGTGGCCGTCTCATACTACTGGAAGGCACTGCAGTGTCTTAAAAAAACGAGAGTAGGATTCCTTGAATAGAGATGGTTTCTTGCAAAATGCGTCATGAGCACAATTGGTGCTCTTCTCTGCGGCTGTACATCAGGTGATTGGATCCATGGGATGAAGGCATAGAGCTGTGTGTCTTGTGAAATCTGTTCTTTCCACAATTTTTTTTTTTCCCCCAAAGTAGCAAACCTGTCAGCAGCTTAAATGCTGAAATTCTGAGGTTCTAGCTGCTAGAGACCATAGTAAGAATGGACAACAGCCACACTTCCTCAAAAGGATGAGCATATATTTTGGAAAACAAAGCAAACCTTCCCCCTTTGTAATGAGCATTACATTATGGTCTGGGCTACCACTGTAGCTCACTCAGGTCAGCTGCCCTGGCTGATTCGGTTCTGCTCATGACCTGCCTGGCATGGCTGGGCTGGGATTCTATTCCAGCCAAACCAGGACAGATAATTTTATCTTGCTCTTGCCTCCTGAAGTCGCAGAAAGGAAGTGGTTTGTCACATTCAGCTATTGAAGAATTGGGCATTTGGGCATTTTCAGAACAGTTTCTATAATGTCAGTCACTGGCAGCGGCAGAGAAATGGTCCTGTGTGAAAGGAAAGAAGGTCAAAATGCCTAGTAAACAAAAAATAGTTAACTAGCTTCATTTTCGCTCTTATGATTTACTCTGAACTTACCTCTTTGCTTTCATTACTGTAAAATAAGACACAAAAATACAGACAACAGTTATAATGTCCCAGCAGGCTAACATTAATTCGGTGATCTGTGCTGTTTTGGAACTTCTGGCATGTGCAGTCAGGAAGGCATTTTCCTCTTCATTAGAATTCCAGTGGAAAGCAAAAATCAATTTCCCTGAATAGCTTGTTGGTCACGTTGTCTGTTAGGGTAGCCTGCAATTAGCACATTCTTCTCTCGTCGGCATCAATCACTATTCCAAATGAATTACCATGGAGCATTTCAAGAAAGCCAAAAGATCAAACTGACTGATAAGGTCTCACTGCCCATCAAATAATGGAAAAGAATAAAGTTTATTGATCTGTGGATGTCTTGAAATTTTAGGGAACATTAACTTCAAAAGCAGACTCCCTTTTGGGTTTACCTTATATAAAGAGGGTTATGGGTTTTTATTGTAGAAGAAGCTAGGAAATATCACCTAATTCAAGTTAAATAAGGTATTTCTAAGAAGAGTTAGAAAAGACTGCACAGATGTGAGGTTAATTTCTGTCTTCTGATGTGCAGCAGACATTAACATGATATGCAGGGAAGGAACAGGCCTTTTGTTACATAAACACAGCATTATTTATCTGAATATTATAATCTTGAATACTGTCATCTAGACATTTATTTTAATAAAATACATTTTTATCTGAGTGTTGAATAGCTAGTTATTTCTTCTTTCTGCAAGCACATCATGAACTTGAACTCTGAAACCGATATGATTGGGATTTTACTTCTAGTTTTTTTCTTACAATGTATTTTGCCTAATATGATTAGTCCAAACTACAAACTACATGTCACCCATTTAGGATGGAAATGCCTCTATGTCTTTTATTGTACACCCTCTGCATCTGGTTTAATAAAGAGCAGTAATAAGACAAACTCTGACAGTTTCTAAGCACCTATAATGGAACGTTTTCAAAGTCAGTTTATGGGAAAACATCTATTGACTAAGAATTTTTAGAATACTATCTTTAAGCAATACAGGTAGAAAAGGTTTGTATGATCGTGTGGCTTTTTAGTTCTCCATCGGTGACAGAATTCCTATAGTATATTTATTTTATTTCTCACCCATATATCTAGAAGATTCCTGAAAAATACCAATAAATTTCAGTATTTAACGTTTTCTCTCAAATATCCTCCTTTTGCTAAATATCAAGATACTAAGGGTATTAATATCATTTTCACACTTTGATATTACTAGTATCAAAAATGCATGTGAAGTTTTGATTTTACACCTTTGTCTACGTGAAATTTTCCACAGAATTTTCAAGAGTGACAACTTTGCAAGTTAATCTTTCGACTGCTGCCTTCATCCTGTTATGCTCAAAAAAAAAAAAAAAAAAAAAAAAAAAAAAAGGCAGACTTAATTTCGCTTAAAGAATACCCAGGATACCCATGGGTTTTCTTATGAGCACTAGCTGGGCAATTGAAGGTTATTTTCACTTAGAATTTTTATGTACAGATGTGCATGTACATATATATATATAAAAATAAAACTAATATGTGTATATTTATCTCTATATATCTGTATGTGGATTTTAATTAGTTGTTAAAGATAAAAGGGGGAAGGCAGTTGTCAAATTAGAGTCAAGGAACCAATCCAGTTAGAATTCCTTTATTAGTATGTTGATTTGGAGAAGAAAGCATTGGCACAGATCCATGAGCATTACTGTGAGGAAACAAATGAACCTACATAGGTGTGGAAGCGACTGTAACAGTGACAGTGTTATCCAAACGTGTCGATGTTGCAGTAAGTTGAGAAGAGAAGTGGTGATTGGAAAAGACTTCACATAATGTAGCAGGTTTCCTTTAAGGCAGTAATTGTGCAAGTAGATTTGTCTGGAAAATTATTAGAAAGAAAAGATACATTTATTGGAAATGATGAAAAGGTCAAAGATGATGAGTATTGATAAGAAAGTGGTAATTATATGGACAGCATGAAGCAATAAGAACTTCCAAGAATGGTGTTGATAGATTTCATAGTGGTGGAAAGATTGTGCAAAAAACACTGGAACAGGACCACACAGACAAAATATTGTTGAAGAAGATTGTGGGAGAAGAGGGGAACAACGTTCCCCCTTTCTGAGCTGGCAATGATGAAAACAACACTTGAAGGTGATAAAAAACTAGAAAATTGGTTCTGTTTTCTGTATTTGTACTATATACATGGGCTATATATAGTACTGTTGTGATAAAAAACTAGAAAATTGGTTCTGTTTTTGTATTTGTACTATATACATGGGCTACGTATAGTACTGTCTAAGAGAATATCAGCAAGTAGTTGAGGAAAAAAAAATAATAATTTGGTACTGAAAACATAATGCGTATTTTACAAAAACACTAAAAATAATACTGTGTCATAGACAAAATTTCCATAATTCCAGAGGAAAAATGATAAAGACCTCCTAGCAGAGAGGCACAAAGAATATTTCAAAGTTTCAGGCAGAGGCTTCTCTATTTGGTCAGCCAAGATGAGAGGAAGCAGAGGCATGTTTCCTTTCCTTGGAACTCATCACTGCTGTTCAGGTGTTACACCGATTACAGCAATTGTGAGCTCCTGCGGGAGCCGTCATTAGGCAGGTGAGTTCTGAAAGGTGACATCGACTTCCCTGCCAACCCTTTCCAAACGACAGGGAAATACACCCTACCTCGATAAACGGTGGCGGTGAACTGAGGACAGGCACTGCCCATTCCTTTGCAATTCCCTGGCTACATGAGCCACCGTGACTTTGCGAATGTGCTGAGCTCAGCTGAAAATCGACTTTGTGGCATCTAGGGCAGTCAGCATTAGGTAGTCTTTCTGACAAAATCTTCTGCTCCTTCTCAGGGTGGGAAACCAAATGTATTGCCTCCAGCTACTGGAGATTTGACTACATGCTATAACCCTCGTTTGCTGTTTGGGTTTTATTGGGATTTGGCATTTACTGCCTGCCGTGCCAGGAGGATCACTTAGTTACATCTGGGTTAGGTATACAGTGGAATTCAAGGTTTAGATCTAAATCTTAGTCTGGCCTTCAAGTCCCCTCCTCCTGTCCCTCCATGTACAAGTAACTACAATGTTTATAAATTGTGGTTGGGAACGTCGTAGCTTTCTGCTTGCTCTGTTAGCTTGTGTTACTCCACAAGCTGGCGGTACAAAGCAGATTCAGCACCTGGCAAACCCAGGGAGCTGTTTTCCCGTTTTAGTGGTTTACGGCTGTGTTCACGTACACGTTCACAAGTGCAATAAATGGCCTCTTGCTTCTCCACTGCACAGACAAAAGCTGAGTCTCAAAGTTTTACATGAAACAGATGAGAATATCTTGGCAGAGCAGTGTATTTAAAACTTTCTTTTCCCATGCTGTATGTCTCATCTCTATTAAGATGAATTCAAAGGCTATAACCCTTCACCGTTCATCAATGTTTCATTCACAAAAAAAGGATAATGGGAAGGAATGCTATAATCCTTTAAGGTGGACAGTATTTCTTCTGTCCACAGGCTGCATGAGCATTTTGGAAGATTTGTCTTGTTGCTACAGCAGATAAGATATTCTTTTTAAATAATTTTAGTTTTTATTTTTAGAAGAATTTTTCCCTCTAGAATTTTCCTGTATTTATGGGAAAAGAATTGGTAGCTGTCCTGTTCAAAGTTAACAGCTTATAATGAGAGTTATATGAGAATGAGACAGAGAGTATTTCCATCTCCACAACTGTGTCTAACTCAATTTTAAAACAACATCATGACATAATGAACTGATGCCACACTAAGGCAAGAAACT